AGAGCAATATGTGTGAGAGAGAGAGACAGAGAGAGAGTCAGAGAGAGACAGAGAGAGAGAGAGAGCGATCACTATAAGCAGATGATCATATAACATTTTTTTGTTTATTTCTCATGCAGATAAAAACCTACATGAATATAATGTTAAGAAACAAACATGTTACTGATTCAAACTAAAATAATAGAAGCTGTGCTGTGGTCGTCTCATTGATCGAGATGAGATATTCTCTACACACACACACACACACACACACACACACAGTGGCAGTTTACAAACTTTGTACAAATAACACACTTTTGTTGGAATGATTCTGTCCAGAGCTTTTTGATCCACATTAGCGGTTCATCACTATAAGTGGTATTTATACACATATATTGTACACAGGGATGAATGGGGAAGGTAAATGGGAAAGTGGTCTCGGACTGTTGGACTCTATATGCACAGATCACCTTGCAATGATTGTTGAAGCCGAGCACTTTGGATATGATGAGTGGTTTCTGTAATATGCACGTGCCTCCGCGGTCACATGTCACTTGATGAGAAACGTACAAGCACAACGGGAACTCTTTGTAATGAACTGTGACATACTGTGCTCTTCATAATAAACATTTTGTATGCTAACGTTTTTGTCTGTTCGGACTTGTGAGGATTGACGGCATCTGCGTTTCAGCTTCGTCAGCTATCAGCTCCGAGAAAGTGTTTGTCAGCAGGTGTTTTCTCCTGCTGATCATCTTACGTCGGATAAACCACAGTTTTATTCTCATTTAAGAGGATTCCTCGCTGACCCGAGTTTACATTGATCCTCCTTAGTGTCACCGATGTGATAATCCCCAGGACAGAAATCAGCTAATGGCAGCAGAACAAGAGACTCCACATTAAACCGTACTTATTATTTATTGACAAACAGCTTGTTTTATAAGACTGTTGACTCACCACTGCTCGTGCAGGTGAGATGGATCAGTGATGGAGAAACTTGAGAAACCTTGGGAACAATCAATTGCTGCAGCAGAACAATAAACAAGCAGAGAACCAGAGGCAACATGAGTTTTTTTTAAGTCAATGAAGGAGTTTCACCGATGGCCCCTCACTTAAAATTCACTCATGCATAGCCTGAAGCTTATTGTGCACCGTGAATAGTAAGAGGATCAAATTGTTTCTGCAACTTTCAGCTCAAAAGACAAACTGGACAAATAAGTTTTTTAAAGCAGCTTCCAAATAATTCCAAAAAACATATACATTTAAAACGAAAGCTGAGAAATTAGTCTCTTACAAATGAGATTATGTCTTGGATGTAAATGTCAGATGCTAATACTCTGAAATACAAAGATTTTTCTCCCATCAGGCCATGCAACTGATCCTCATATCTATAGACAGTGTTCACCAGATTACTGTTGTCTATCAATCTACTGGTTATTTTCTCTTTAAAATGATGGAATACATTTCAATCCAAATGATCCAAAACGCTTGAAAATGGCATTTTCCTGAGAAGGAATCTGCACATTTTGCATAAAAATAACTTTAAGAAGTTACTGATTATTAAAACTAGAGGCTGCATACTTCTGCCAAAGATAACGCTCTATCTCGCTGTGGTAAAAAATGTAAATAAAGTTGTGCCTGTTTATCCAGATCCACTGACAATGAAAATATAATTTCTTAAGTCAATTTCACTGAATTTTTAACTCTCATATTCAACAACACACCTCCATATTTTGGTGATTCTAATGTCTTTGGACTTGTTATTAATTATTTACTCATAATTTTACTAGAGAGGCACTCAATCGGGCTCACAACATCAAACTGCACCAAATTGCAGACACTCATAAATTTCGGTCCCCTCAATGTGCCTGATTGTTTTCATCAAGGTCCATTAATTATTCTCAGGAAAATTAAAAAAAAAAATGGAGGGAGAACTTAATGGGTTCTTGGTTGGCCCACATCCAAATCGTTCACCAAGTTTCATAGAAATCCTCTCAGGAAATATACGAAATGTGCAGCGGAGACAACATACATTTATTTATTACACATCAGCAAAAAAAGTACAGCTTGGAATCTTTTTTTTTAATCCTTGCTCCAAAATGTGCTTCTCCTCTGTATTCCAGTGTGACTGCGATAATTAAAAAGCTCTGAAGCTTTTGAGCACGATCTTCTTATATTAATGTCGACAGAGAAATACTGACACTGATCAGCTGCTGTGTTCTGTCTCCTCAACCTCCGAATACATTGCGGCGAACTACAGGACGACAGTAAACGTGAAATCAGCATTTATGCACCTCACCGCACCACTGAGCAATATCTTATCAGTCATTTAACCAGGACTGATTCCAGGTCCATATTCTCCTGTACTGTTTCTTAGAATAACAGTGAATCAGTGCAGCTCGTTTGTCAGAAAACACCTCAACACAGCCAAGATGTGACTTAAATATAGTAACGACTGCATCACACTCAGTGTTCCACGTCTAATTAACACCTACATTTTCCATGAAGAACAGGAAACTCTCCTCTTGGAAAGAATCAACACTGATCCTCTGAGCCTCAGTGACATAGAAGGATTTTCTCTTGGTCCTGCAGGTTGTGGGAAGCAGCTGCTCTGCTGCACCTCAGCCTGGTTTGGACGAGTTCTGTGGCCACGAGCCAGATTCACCACGGAGACGCACGGGTGGTGAGAGCGAGGCACCGGACTCAGCGGGTCGCTCGGGTTTGTCCGGTAGCTCGGACGCTCTCGCTGCGATTCAAAGTCAAGGTGACTCATGGCGGGTGAGAAGTCCACTCGAGTCCAATGTGAGCGAAGCAGTAGAGGAAGGCGAGCATTGGTGGGGCCATCGTAGACCAGCCTGAGATTAAAAGAGAAGTGATTAACACGTCTGTTCACAGGGAATATTTAGATTTACACAAAGTATCCACAATTCTGATAACTTTATATGATATTCTTTATAAATACTGAAGTTACATGGTGACTGCTACGAGCGGAGCCTTGCATTCTTTCACAGGACAGAGAGGAAACAAAGAGGAATCGTCTGGTCAGCTCTCTGCTGTATTGTGTTGTGCTATGGTTTTTCTATTTATAGCTGCGTCTTGAAGGGTCCAGCAGGCAGGTAAGAACAGCTGTCTGCACCCCCCCGACTGGCTCGCCTCCAGATTATCTCCGTAACCTGCACCTGCACCCACAATGCTGTTGAATGGTCTATTCTTTTCTATTCATGTCAAAATGTAATTCACACACACAGCCACAGACACACACACACATGCACACACGCACGCACACAGGCTGCTTTATGCTCAGCTGTACTGTCAGTTTCCAGCCTGCAGAAGAGGAAGGGTACCTGGGCTCTGGTTCACAAAGATATATTATGATGGTAAGTATTTTTCCCTGCAAGTTAAAGTCCATAATTCTTCTTTTGCATTTGTCCTTAAAAAGCCTTAATGATGTTTTCAGTCAATTTTAGTGAATTATAAATGTTAATTCAATCTCACATTATTTAAAAATCTTTCAAGCACACTTATGAAATATTTAGCATTTACTGACGTGTAAACTCTTCATTCAAGGCTCAGCGCGCACCACGAGCAAACATCGCCGCTGTGCCAAGACGTCCCAGTGTCCCAGTCTTTGCAGGTATGTGCATCTTATTAACACCCTCAGTGTGAAATATATCCTCTCACAGCACAAGTCATCTGACTTGCTGTCAGCAAACTAACAGAGTGGAAATGAGAACTCCAGCAGATCATCAGGTGCACTTTCTAAGTTCGTATAAAAGTAAAAGTATTGATTGATCACAAATAGATTTGAGACAAAACAAGTTTTAAATAACATTTGATTAATTAGATAACAGGGTCATGTTAGGAAAGATAGACAGCGACTTCAAAGTTTCAGAAACTTCCATTTTCTACCAAATGCATAATTTAAGTTATCGACATTACCCACATCGACAAAACTAGATACTGCCACAGCTTCGGCTTTTTTAACTTTTATATTTTTGTCACCAACAAAACGCTGAACTATGAAACCAAACGATGACGGGGTGCTGCTGCGAATCAGCAGCTCTGACCTCACAGGTGAGCTAACCCCACACCTCTGGAAAACCTCACCCCACGACACCACTAGTCCACAACAGTCAACCTGGTTTCACTGCAGCCATTAAAATATAATGTGATGATAAGTTATTAAATTAATACTGAGACAACTCAGCACTGTGACTGTATGTGAGAGACTTTATACATCCTCAATAAACACACACAACTTTAAACACATGCTATGAATAGGAGTTACTTCTTATACATTTCACCAGAGGTCAGATTGCAATTACTCTGCTGCCTGCACTAAAAAGGCCAGACAGGCTGATTTAAAGGAATTGATTCCATGTTAATGAAGTGAACCGCGACTTCCCCTCGGTGCTTTACTGCACGGCTTTGGGCTTTTCTGGAGGATCCATATCTAAATTTAAAAGTACAAAAAAAAACCAAGAAGTCACTTAAAGCTGCAAAATTACGAAGTGGTTTGTTCAATGGTCAATTTAAATCTCGCACTGACGCGTTCAGTCGCTATTTTTAGTGCTTTAATGGTCCGAGTGAATCACCATGAAAGCAAACTGAGATTCTCTGTTTGGTTTGTGCTTCTCGCTCTGAATTATTCACAACAGAGATGGTCTTTTCAAACACCCTGCTATTCTTTTTTAGGTCTCTCTTAAGTTATTTACGCAGTCTACAGTATTATGTGTGAGAAAGAGGTCAGAAGATGATGTGAACGCACCATTTGCTGTGAGCCTGCCAGGCTTCCAACAAATGATTACTGTCACTATAAAACTCAACTGGAGACCGGAGAAGGGTTTCTGTCAGGAGGCTCGGGCTCAGATTTGTCACATAAAGACATCTAAAGAGAATATACTCATCTGAAGACAGAATACAGTGAAGGAGTGAGATTAGCAACAAGTTAAAAAAAAAAATCAAAGCAGTTTCCAGACATGAACTCTGCGACTGGAAAATGAGATCTGCACATTTTCTAGAGTTTGCATTTCACATATGAAAAATGGAGCAGGAAATAATCTTCCGATGTTTTTCACAACAACAGGTAAATCCCCAGAGCGTTCAGATGAGGAGCGGCATCTGGGTAGAACAGCCGGACATCATGTATGAATTCCAATGAGGTGTTTTTGTTTTCGGCAGCGTCACTGGCCCCTGACATGATTTCATCCTGAGATGAGATTCTTTTAGACTTTTCCAGTATCGCGTCCGTCCTGTGTTAGAAACGTTATCAACACACCTACACATTTCCCCTCCGTGTTCTCTTATGGGCTCACTTGTTATTAGGGGGCTGGCAGAAAAATGTGAAGCAAAATATCCGGAGGAACTGACTCGCAAATGTGTTCATGTGCGAGTCAGAAAGCAGCTTTATCTTGAAGGGAGTGAACACAGACTTTTGTTATGATGAAATATTAAGAGTTGCTGTTTTTTACACTGACTCCACAACATCATCCAAAATCCCAATTTAGACGTTTCACAACAGATCATTAGGAGGAAATTACAAGAGTTTGAAGTTTAAAATGAGACAGAAGCTGGAGGCTGTTCACGTGATCTGTGGCAGAACCACTCTTCAGCTGCTGGAACTGTTGTTTTCCTCTCAGTCAGTTAGTCATAATGGAGCTAACTTTGGTTTTGCAGTGTTCAGATTTTATAGTTCATACTTTTTCTCAGTGGTCACAACAGAACCACTTCTCTGCTTCTCCTCCCAGAAACCACAAGGAAAGAATCCGAGTCGGGAGATGTGATATTTGTCTAATTTAAAGCAGAACAAATATCCAACAGTAATAGCTAACAAAAAACTGGACTACTGTTTTTATTTCATGGTCAGCAAATGTAATGTTTTGGTCTAGTCTCATGCAGTCAGCAATTAATTAAATTATATAGGGAGTGATGGTCTGCTGCCGAAGACAGTAACATCTTTATGGATGCTTTAATGGTCATTGGTGTGGGTAGGATTTCTCCCTGTGCTGTTAATGGTCAGTCCGACTGTGTCTGGCATCCACCTCATCCCCCTACAAATCGTCTTCTGGTCTCAGGGCTCTACTCAACCATGGTTTCAGCAGCATGCAGCTATACAATAGAATCGATGAACCCCCTGTACTCCACCTGAACAGCAGATTAAGTTAGCGAGTAGCTGGTGACCATAGCGTGGATTTAGCAGCTAAAGAGCCAGAAACGTCCCTCAGGAGTCGGTGAACAGCTACAGGAAGATTGAATACTGGGCCAGAGACAACTTCAAATAAAAACTGAATATCCTCTGTTTCTGCAGAGGTAAATGTGACACAAGTAGCAACTTAATGAGATAATGTGTTTCCACAAAATCTTTAATTGCTGCTTTAAAAATGAGTAAACTCTGAATTATATTTCAGCATGAGCTGACAGTTCCTTATAATAAATTATAGGAATTATAAAATGATGTATCAGCACTGATCTGAGTGCAGCTCAGGTGACTCATCATGTGCCATCTTACTTTAATAACCTGCTGTCTCACTATTAGGAAGAGTTTCCCGGTGCAGATGCATGAAGATGCATTTTTAATCAGTGTAATACATTTTATTAATTATATTTTATTTATGATTTTATGAACAGCCTCTCTGCTGCTTTAGACAAACTCTCTTTAGCTGCCATCACTGGAGGAGAAATCTATGATGTCCCACAATTCAGCTAAATGACTGATGACCCACACTAGTAACACAATTATAAAAAGCCAGCTGAAACAATCCCACAAAATGAAGTCACACACAAATCGTATGGAGTGAGCGCCTTGGAGGGCAACTTACCTTGAATGACGACACGCTTCCAGAAGATTCTGCCAACGTGTATCCCCCCAAGGAACACCAGATTAGAGAGGATGAGCATTGCAGTGGAGAAGGCAGAGAGGAAAGCGATGGAGCGCCTTTTCATCGCTGGAGAGAAATGTTGCTCCTGGGAAATCAGTAAATAAATAGTTAGATTGAAGGAGAAGTTCGTTCTATGTCTGAGAAGCAAAAAACATCAAAGTACAATAAACCTGTTTGAACATAAACTGGAATGATTACACAGTCATCATATCTTATTACTATTTTGGGAATATGAACCTTCTCTCTAGGCTACAGGCCAAAAAAGAACAAAGAATAACCTGAATAAATCCATTGCCTCTTATTTATTGGGACCATATTGAAGAAAAAGAAAATCAGAGATTTCAAGAATAATGCCGTTATTTTAAGAGAACAAAATCCCAATATTATGAAGAAAATGTGTGAGACATCAGCTGAGTTGATGCTGAGAACTCACTGCTTCACCTCCCAGAAAATTGATCCGGACCAGTTAACATAATCAGTAAAGTCATTGGTGTCCGTAGAATCGTATAATTTCCGATCCCAAATTCAATGTGACAGAACACAACACTTATCGGTACATGCTGTAGCAGCTCTGGGCAATATCTCTCATTTAATCAAATTACATGACCCATTTATTTTCACACATCTAAACCGATCAATAGAGTGATCAGGGAATTAAATCAATATGCAACTTTAATCTCTTTCAGCCCGCTGTTCTGCCTGATGAAAACACTTGGGTTTCAAACTTACAACAATGGAGTGAATAGAGGACGAGGCAAAGAAAGACTTGAATCCGTTTTCCACCAGAACTCCAGCCCAGTTCATCAGGGCCCAGTACTGTAGGTAGTCCCGGCCACCGTGCCAGACGCAGACGAAACCAAAGGCGAGGCCGGTGGATACGATTTTATAAAGAGAGCCGTGTCGTGAACCTCCCAAAGGCACATAGATGTATCTGAAACATGAGTATATCACAAGAACTTAATAAGTACCGACTCTATTACAATAAATACATTATTATGACTGTTTAGGAAAAAAAGAGCAAGGAAAGTCAAGACAGCTGCAAATGAGAAATTGCATAGGACTGGAAATGACAGTACAATGTACCAATGGGTTTCAAAGAACTCCTGTCATAGAAATGATCATTTCATGCTCATTGATTTTTAATCAAATAAACGTTGCTCTGATGTCCAGGGTAAAAATAGAAGCACTCAAACTGATCCTGCCAAATTGGCTGTAATAATCCTTCAACTGGGTAATGATTCAAAAAGATTCCTGGAATTTGAACCAAACCCTCAACACATGTTTTGTTCGTTTGTTGCTGATTTCAATATTTTGGCTTATTAACTGAGCATAGACAGCTGTTTAGAATTTCATATGTTTTCATAAAATCTTTTTTCGTAACTCTGTGCCCTCCTTCACTTGATGTGATTAATAAATCTCAGTAATCAGTAAATGTGGCTGCTGTCGTGAAGAGAAATGGTCTCGGATATTGTGAGACGCTTGCCCTTCCCTGAGGAACCGGGAGTCTAAACATGCTACATGAGTCCAACACATTAGCAACAAACATATTACAATCCATCTCATGTTGCTGAGCTGGGAACTAATTATCTCAGCCACCCTGTTGCTAATCAATGTTCCAGAAAGATGAGCCAGCATTTTCAGAGCCTTAAATAGAGTGGCCAGCCTGGCCACGTGAGAGGATGAAAGATCTGTAGGTGCAGAGACAGATGGAGAGGTACCAGTGTTAAGAGAGAATATCTAAACATTCTCAGCATCTATCCATCATTTAGATGCAGATATATTCCAAACAGATGTTAATCAAAATATGATGATTCGGAGATATACATTAAAACCTGAATAATCAACACCTGACTACAGTGAACAGAGGGTGCAGACAGCAACATACAGGATCAGTATGAACTGTGTGATTCTCAGTATTGATTTTGTTTATATTGATGATGCACAATGTGTGACAATTTAATCTTTAATGGATTTTTGTCCTTGTTGGTATATCTTTCCCTTTTCTATCCAGGCCATATATGTTTATTCATTTTTCCAAATTGTATACATGTAAAACAGAAAGATGATGTAGTTGTTCCTAAGGATGCACTGGCACACTACAGTAATTAATGGATATGCATGAATGTATGTATCAGGCTTTAGCCGGTCTAGCATCGATTATTGTTGGTTCCAGAGCTTTTGCAGAGACAGAGTTGACTTGATCTTTGAGTTTTCATGCTTTAACGCCAAACAGAACCAAAACTGAAAGCTGAACTTGCTCAACTCGACCACCTCCATACCCCCACTTACTCAAAACAGCTAACATTTCGTAGTGTTAGGGATCAAACGCTCCTCCTCATATGCAGCTTCAATAACCAGAAACCAGCAAAAGCTCTTTTGTTGTGCAATAATTGTATATGCATGTGAAACAGGGACCTGAGAGCCACTGTGGTGGTGCACAGGCAGTAAAAACGTAATGGAATGGTGAAGAATGAACCACTTAGCTGCCCAGGGAGACGTGGTGTCAGTGAGTCATGCGGAGCACATCATTTAACACCTACACGCTCATCTAGCCCTCTTCAGACAATTTCTACAGAATTTCAGAACTGCATTAAAACCTCTTTAAAAGCTCTTTTCAGCAGAAGGAACGGCGGGGCATTGTGTCATGGGTGTCACTTTGCATCTGCAGTATGATAATTGCAAGTGATACCATTAAACCGGAGAAAACAATTTCCAATGACCACAGATTAAAATAGAAACTTTAATTTGCAATTTAAATTCTGGGATCTTAAGCAAATTATGTGCAGCCACTCGGACACCATATTTCCCTCTAAATTCATCTTCAGGATTTGAAAGGCAGATACACACGTACACCATCATATCTGCCAAATAACAGAACACTTACACACACACACACAGACACACACTAATTAGCAAACAATAGCCAAGACAAGGAACATTTTCTCAGAATATCACAGTATTTTCTGACAACCGTGCAACTGCAGCGTTGCCTCGACATAGCAACCAGCGTCTAGCAAGTGGACCATAAACTCTCGATGGGCTGCATTCAGCCGAGTGTGCATCATTAAAAGCAGACAAACCAATAATGTGCGTTGTCCAAACTACAAGTGAGCAGACACATAATGCGCCCATTACAGATGCACATATTAAACAAGGAGGCATTTCTCCAGGGTGCAGGAGCAGCAACACAACAGAAGAACTGTTCACCAACAACATGCAACCTCATAATCATGAGAAAGCCTCCATGCAAATGTGGCATCCTTGTCCATTATGACGACACATGCGGGCAGGCAGCTGGAGAATGGCACCTTTTGTTTTTAAAGAATATTCAGCAAATTCAATGCCCAACAGGAAATGAGCTGTTTACAACAAGTGTGCAGTAAATAACAGATACAAGATGATTACATGTGCTATTCCTAAAATATAATTTATATCTATCTCCAGATCTATATAGACATGAAACTGTAGAAATGAATAGATATTAAATGGCCACTTGTAAGATTAAATTTTCCCAAACTTGGCAATCCTAGTATCGAGCAAAGATATAAAGATTTCAGAAGACAGAAGGCCTGGATAATTTACATTTAATTGACAATTTACTATTTATATATTTATAAACATTTCATAAGACTTTGCCAGGCAGCCAAAAATGGCTCCTACACAGATACAATAAGATTAAACACATGCTGTTCCAAACATTAAAATAAGAAAAAAAAACAAAAAAAACTGTATATATACAGTCTTATCCACCACTCAAGTCAATTTAAAGGAAAAGTTGCATTCACACATACATTCATACGGCACTTTTCTCTATCACACATTATTCACACACTGTCTGAACAGCAGTGGTTCAGAGTCTTGCTCAAAGACACTATGACACGCAGACTGGAGGAGCCGAGGATCGAACCACCAACCTTCTGGTGAGTAAAAGACCCTTTCTACCTTATGAGCCACAGTGGCCATTATTATAGATATAAAATTATATAAATAAATCAATACAAATTTAGTTATATATACATACAGACAGACATTATTTGATTTAGATAACATAATTTCTTTTCTACACATTAACATTTGAATTAGACTGTCCACTGCTCATGAAGTGGCTCTTACCTGATGAGCCATCGATACAGCCCCTCGTCAAAGTGCCTGGGAATAAAAAGAAAAAGGTCATTTACATAATACAGCACACCTGAGCTCTGGGGTTCTAGTGTGTATGGTGCATGTGTGTTTGTGTGATTGCTCTTTGTCATTAAGAAGATTAGAAAACCTGTGTTTTTGTTTTTTTCCCCCCCTCAGGCTGTAAACTGGAACGGTTTGGTCAATGATGTCAGTGGACAGCTTTATGCATTCCATCAATGTTGTCAACATCGGCCAGCTCAGCACACACGGGCTGGATTGGAGTGCATCAGTGTCAGCACGATGGTCGAGCTCGTCTACAGGAAGTGTGTTTTTACAGCCTACACCTCCACTTCACAGTACGCACGAGCCTGTTAGTTTCATCATAGTATTTGTATTCTATCCTGAGTATTATATCCCATTTAATTACATTTTCCACTGAAACTTTTATACATTAATTTGCCGATCAAATAGATACAACTAGCTGAATCTAATCCAGTCCTGCTATAAATCCTTCATAAAGATTATAACAATCCATTTTTGTTAAGATGCTTAGAGCTGTGTAGATTCAAATTCAATTCACATACTTTAATTGATTTATTGCCTTATGCCTTTACTTTGTAAAGCATTTTCTACCCACGGATACATAAACTTTATTATTTCCAAATGATCAATTCTGAAGGCTGCAGTTTGTGGTGCTATTTTTCTGTATTTTATTATACAGAGCGATGTTTCTGTAATTTAGCCTACCCTCATGGATATAAATAGGTGGCCAGAATATTAGAAACACCTGCCACTACAACAAACACAGATCAACAACCACAAACTACCACACAATTATCATACAGCTGAAACACAAACAGAATATATGAATCTTTATGGCTTTAGGGTTTATTGTAGGATTGCAATAGCTTTCACTAGTCGATCTAATAAACTGGAAGCTGAGAGCAGCATGTGAGCCACAAGTCTTTTTCATTGTCCAGAAGTGATGTGCATCCCGGAGGACCTCAAAACTAAACAGCAAACACAAATCTGGGACAAAATGTTGCTGTTCTAAACAACACCTGACTATGCTGAAGTATTACTGGAAACTCTTTTTATGTTTGAAGTGTTTAAGGTGCTTTATCCTTGTGTCACAAACACTGCAATGTACATGTTCATTAACTTGAACAATTGTGACCCCTTCAGTGGAAACCAGGCATCGTCTTTTACTGTGTTGGTAAATGTTTAAATCATCTTGACATTCATTTTTATAATGTTCACTTTTTGAAATGCTGCAACAAACATTAAAAGGTTAAAAGCATCAGAATCAGTCCAGACGAACAAACCCTTTTATCTTTGAGTCTGAAAGAAAGTTATAATGCTCCTGGTGCGGAGGTGAAGTATTCTACTGATTGCCAGTAATAACAGAAGATGAGACAATTCACTGTGCCCAGAATCTGATTGCCAAAGCACTTCATTTAAAGCACTTCACAATAAATTCACTTTTTCCCTCAATGATTCCAGAATTTCTGGCTTTTCCACTGAGATGTTAAGGAATTCTGACTGTGAGATGAGTGTTAGACTGTATTTACATTTGTGATGGGTTCCACTGTATGATCTTACCTCCACATCCCTGTGAAACTGTGCATGATGCTGACACAAGATGGAAGCTTTGGGGGAACTAGTTTGTCCAAAGTGGCGAGCATGGATGGAAGGCCGAAGAGCACCAGATACTTCACATAGAAGAACTGGACGAGGGCCAAGGCCAGACCGCCTGTGAAGCCAAGGAAGAAGAGTTTTACACAAATATCCATTTATTTATAGACCACAGCAGCGATTTGAATAAATTACATAAATCTCCAAAAACTTGCAAAGACATAAAGGAGCTTTTTATAAAAGCAAGTAAATACATAAATAACAAAAATCTAATCAAATCTATCCACAAGTAAAAAAACTGAATGCTGAATCAAAGGCAATGAGTAAATCAGTTACCAGCACATCTGAAACCAAATCCTGTGAGGGAGACATGTTTTTAAAGTCTGCATGGTGTAAACATGTTCTCTCTCTGTGTGTGTGTGTGTGTGTGTGTGTCTGAAGTGGCAGGGAAACATTAAAGCTGGAGCTCAATGTTGTGCTGCGCGTGAGAGCTAAAAATACCCACAGTCTAAATTCTTACCCAAGGCCCAAGGAGGAATCATTTCTAAGTAGGTCTCATTAGATTGGATGGAGTGCATGTACATAACGTGGATCATGTATTCTGCGATGCACCACCACAGTACGATCCGTCCTGATCTGAGCACCAAGTAGCTCAAAGCAGATCCGTCCCTGTCACTCTCCTCTGCAGGTCTCCGCATCTGCAAGAGGGGAAAGTGAGCAGGTTGCTAAGGGCTGCTAGGTGAATCTTCATCGTCAATACAAAACACTTCATACATTACAGTATGATATGCAACAATTCTTCATTATGTCTAAAAACAACTAGACCTATGTTAAACAAACATTTTGTTAGCTTGTGTACCTACATTATCCAAAATGTTTCCAACAATGTTCAAACCAATGTTTCATTCCATTGCCTTTTAATTGCATCAGATTCACTTAACAGCGTATGACGAAGGAAAAAACACACTGCATTGTTCTTATTGTTAATTCGTAGTGGATCACAATTATTCATCACCATTCGCTCTGTGAACAAATCTTACACGCTACATATTCTACATTTAACTCTGAAAGATGGATGTGAACACCAGCCTCAAAGTTTTATAAAAGTAACAACAAACCAAATAATTGGGAGCTATTTCTCTTTAAATGAGGAAAATTAAAGTATCTGTCCGTTTGAAAACAAACCTCCACTCGTGTGTCGTCTGCAATGTTTATAAAAAACATGACCTGAGATCACTTCCACTTAGAGGCAGCAATCAGCTTCAGGCTCCTCCAGACGAAAAACACTCTCACCTGCTCAACGTAGTCTCTGTACGTGATGATGGGTCCATTGTAGAAAAAGGGATGATAGAAAGTGTATGAAAACAGCCAGCAGAGCTGCACGACTCCACCGCGGCCTGCAGGGCACCAGCAGTGCTCCAGGCTGAAGCTGATGAAGCGCAGACCACAGACAGCCACGCTGAAGAGCAGCAGATAGTACTCGTCCTCAGTCTTGTACCAGCCTCTCTGAGAAATACAGCATAGAGGCCAATTATTTTTAACACATCTCTGAGGAATCCTTCTATAAATAGTGACACTTTGGCACTAAATTTAGCTTCACCTCCTCTAAATACTAAAGAACACATCCTCCATACAACTTTTAATGAGCTCTGCTTGGCAGCGATGGGAATATCGATGATTTCGAAGTAGTGCTTGAACTCAGGTAGTCGGCTGTGTGCTGCTGCATGTATGTGGGCGGTGAGAGCACAAGAAGGGAAGAGGTAGTTTTTGTAAACCATGCACAGGTCTGTCAGGTCTATTTCTGGATTCAACTCTAACTGGAACAGAGTTACCTTGCTGCCACTACACTTGATTCGTCCAAACTGTGCAGTTAAAATATGTCTTTAGAGGAGGATACATGTCACAGCATCCTTAAAGTGGTGAAATACTATGAGCCTGTTTCCATATTAAGAATCCAGTGTAGAATGAATGGAAGCAAGTTTCTACAAATCAGATTAAAACTGAATTTAAATATTTTTGGTCTGTAATTCATTGTCTTGTGTTAAATGAAAGGTATTTTTACTCTCTGTCATGTAGCTGCAGCAAATGCTTGATTTTGACTTTTTGCTCTGTCGCTCTCATTTCCAAATTCTTGCAGGAAGGTACTGAGCTGTTTCCCATCATCTCATCATCAGGGAACACTAGAAATAATAAGATGATTTGTATTGTTTCAAAAAAATCCACTCAACTTCCACAGCCAGAGAATAATGGACCTGCACACCCCTTTAGTATCTTGCGCCCTCTTGTGTTCATTGCAAATAGGACACCTACTGATAATGAAATGGTGAAGTTATCTGTGAAGTGACTTTTGTGCCAGACAGACTTTGTTCTTGTGTGTGCAACTACGGCTTGATCTAGATTTACTTAACAATTTAAGTTTGGAACTGACTGTGAGTGAGTGAGTGAGTGAGTGAGTGAGTGAGTGAGTGAGTGAAGTGGATCTGAAACAAACTAACGGTGGCTGTAAATGTATTGTATTTGCATGGTTTAATAACAGACTGCACAGCCCATGTGACTTGTCATATCTTCATGGAGTTTTTTGACTCTGATCAGACAGATTCAAATTCAAAGAGCATTAACACATTTTAAAAGTGTCCTTTACGTTACTTTGAAAAAAACTATTGAACTAATCGGTTTTATCCTCTGACTGCAACCCACCTGGATCTCTTGAAGTGGTTGGATGTGAAGGGTGGAGAGCAGCAGCAGGTTACATCCCCACGACAGAGCGGGCTTTCGCAGTTGGGCCACCGAAAAGGTCAGGCCCAGATGCACCAGCAGCACACTCACACCTTTAACCCCCAACACGCTGCTGGCTGCTAAGAGGCCGTATATCGTGAGCGCTGGTACCCTAACCTGTTAGAGAAGCATGAATAATGTGTTTGATTTAAATATCTCCCACATAACAACAACAACAACAACAACAGTATATTCAACTGCTGCTTCCTACCTTGGGGTAAAAGATGCTGGTGAATCTTGATATGATGCCGTGACCGGTCAGAGTCCACAGTAAAGACTTCTTGGCCCATTCAGTCCAGAAACTCCACTCAAAGTCTGACGGGTCCTGAACAAAAACAACGAGTTTTAAAAACACACATGTAGCCTGGAGAGGAGACTCTAAATGGTGTGTTAATGCCACATTTTAAAAGACTATGAATAAAGACAATAGAACTTTTGAAAACATTTAAGTTTTTATGATACAAACAGTTTAAATTAAAACTTAAAACACAATATTTTCAGTGACATCAGGAGACTTACCCTTTTAAAACCCTTAAGTAGGCCTTTTTCCAGCTGGAACTCTCTTGCTAATCCGGCTTCATGCTCTGAGATACAAAACAGAAATTCACTGTATTATTTTATCTCATATTACTAAACAGTCACACTGACATCTGACCATGCGCCTTACCTTTGGAGAACGTGTGCAGTTGGTAGAAGGAGTAGAGGTGTGAGCCTAACGAAAGCACCCAATACACAAGGATCTCTGTCCATGGCAGGGGTGAGGACTGGGCCTTTGACTTCATCAGGTAAAATCACTGTGCTATAGTGCACCTATAAGACAGAATGATTGAGACACACACAAACGAAGCTGGAGTCTTTGCAGTCGTGATCACCGTGTGAAACAGCGGTAAGTACAAGGTACCACCATTACACGCGTTCGATCAATCTCTAGTCTCAGCTGTAAATCATCTTTGAGGAAAAATACTGCAGCATAGCGTCAAAGGTTTGTATAGTTAGTCCTTGGAATAGTGACAAACTTTCATAGGTGTAAATGATCTTAATGGTAAAGAAAAGTTGACCTAACTCGTCAAATCAATGAGAACCCGACCAATCTAAGGTCCAACGTGTGGGAGAATGTGCATTTATCTGCAGAATGTGGAAATAGATCATGTTTTCATTAGTTTATAATATCACCTGAAACTAAGAAGAGTAGTTTCGGGTTAGGGCAACTTTTTTGTATCGTTTCCACCTACGAACTTTTGCAGTATTCCTTGAACTAACTTTAAAAACCTTTACCGCTCTTATAGTCTGCGGGATTATCGACCTGCACTGCAGCCAGCCACCAGGGGGCGATCGAGATGTTTTGGCTTCAGACGACAAAAAGTCTTTGGCGAAACATGGACCTGCTCCCTATCATTTAAAGAGCTCAGTCCAAGCTAACGAAAACCCAACTCCACTTGGTTTCAGGTAATATTTAACACTACATCAACTCTCTGCAGATAAATACACCCACGAAAGTTTGAAATTATTCCAGTGACTAACTTTAAACACCTTGAACTCTCTGTTGCAGTCTGTAGTTCACAGCTGTCTCTGAACAGACACGAAACACACATTGTTAGATTGACTGTGACCGACACTGTCTCACGTTAGTTTATATCTGAAGTCCGTCGATAGCAAGAGTCGATAAACACGCTTAGAAAAAGGACGCTCGCGCTTAAAGCTCCAGAACTCGCCTGAGAATCAGTGAGTTTTCAAGTTTGCTTCAGTGACAGAGTAAATCGGTGACACTTAACGGGTCGTTGAACTTCACACAACGAACATAAACTGTTGACGGGAAATTCGGCGTAGTTGGTTTTTATAAAAAAAGTGAGCAAATCCACGTTGAATCTGGGTTTTTATGAAACAAATCCGGTCACACCGGGCGGGCGAGAGTTGGCTAACGTTAGCCACTCAAGCTAACGGATGAATTGAGGTGTAGAGGTACCTGTTGATGTCGGACTGTTGCTCATGTCACTGTCACTGGGAGGCTGATCTGTCTGACTGTGTTTGGATCTTAGCAACATGATCACGATGGTTTCCAAGGGACTCAATCCTTCTTCTATGGCTTCACTCTGGAAAACTTCTTATTAGAGCTCTGCCGCCCCCATCAGGGCCGGAGTGGGTACACAGCCTCTGTCAGGAAAATCTGGACCTAGACTGTATATAATATA